GCATACACAATTTTTGTCTGAAGGTCTTGACACTCTTTTTTTCTTGAATAGGTGATGGGAAATGCATCAGCGCTGATGAAGTCTGAGGATTGGGCAGCGTTGATCACTGACGCCAGAGCCAGGAACTGTTTTATGGAAATGGANTCTCTTCCCCAGGATTTCCCACTTCCGAAGGTACCTGACTATAATCCGAAGGTGCCTAATGCAAGAGGTTTCAGATCAGGTGGATCGAGAATTAGATCTTTTGATAGGCAAACTGAATCCAGTTCAGGGACAACAACGTCAGAAGACAATGAGAACACATCGACATTTGCAAGAAATGATCATTTTCGAAGGGACAAAACACTGGATGATTTTGAGGTTAGACATAGGGATGCCTGGCCGCAGCACGGAAATCAGAGGAAAACAAATTTTGGACGGGATTTGGCGAGACGAGACAGAGAAGAAGCGGAGCACGAAAGCACGGTGGAATGACATGATATGACTTTATCGTCCGTTACAGGCGAGGCAAAGACCGCGGAGATCTGATAAGTTGTTTCTTCGATTTTGCGGCTTGACAAGACCAGGAGGAGCAAGAATCACCAGGTAGAAACAGAAGGCCGGGGACTGGTATGGCTCTATCAAGCTAAAGAAATGAGCGTAAGCTCTGAAGTCTGATCAAGTCTTCTAAGGCCAAAGTATTCTAACCTAGCAAAAGCAGATCCAAAATGTACTTAACAATGGTGTAATACGCATGGTTATTAAACTAATACTCAACACTAGAAATGAAACAAATATAGAGATGATAAGAAAAAGTAGAAGTCATAGATAGTGGATATGACATGGCTTCAAAGAAACATAACCACATCATGAGTATTATAGGGAAGTTAATTCATTGCAATTCGCGATGGCCACTAGTCGCCAGCGTTCTTCTTCTAACGGTGAGTTTTCTGTTCAAAATCAAAGACATGAAGAAAAGGATAGCAATTGGTTTCGAAGGATCAGCTAACAAGTTGGAGTTGGAATTGTGACACTAGAGGGTACAATACTAGCGAATCCTCGGCAAGTCGGCATACACACATAACTCCACATGGTCACGGTATTCTTCCTAGAGAGACTAGCTCTTGAAACCTCCCAAGTAACTCCTGAAGAAATCGAAGGTAGATACCGGATATTTGGAGAGACCATTGATATTG